GATGAGGGCTCACTATGTTACCCAGGCTGCTCTTGAATTCCTGGGCTCAAGCAATCCTCCTGCCTGAGCCTCCTAAAGCACTGGGATTACAGGCATGAGCCAATGCACCCAGCCCAAAGCTAGTTCTATTATGCTACTATTCGCTACCATATTGTTACATTATTTTAATGTTATTGTTACTGCCCAAGCTCACAATTAACAAGTTGGCAGGCCTACAATCTTCTTTCCCTGGGCAGGGCCCTCTGCCTAACCAAAGATGTCAGCTGATCCCTGTCTTCTGTAAAAGTGCCCTCTTGGGATAGAATTGTTGCTCCAGATTGGAATCTCTTCTTGGCCTCCCTGAATATCCCAGCTGGAAGAGTTCACAGCTCACCTTGTTTAGTTGTCTTTCACTGCTGGGGAGAGACCAAGGCCCAAGATCACACAGAGCCTAGAACCTTGGATTCCTGAGGTACAGGCCAGAGTTCTCCTCACTGCTCGAGGCTACCTCTGACTTAAAGCACCAAGGTCGCTTGAGCCCAGGAGTTCAAGACCAGCCTGGGCCATATAGTGAGACCCTGTGCTACAAAATAATAAAAAAAATTACCCAGGCATGGTGGTGCATGCCTGTGGTCCCACCTACTTGAGAGGCTAAGGCAGGAAGATGTCTTGAGCCCAGGAGGTTGAGGCTGCAGTGAGCCGTGACGGCACCACTGCACTCCAGCCTGGGTGACAGAGCGAGGTCTTGTCTCAAAAACAAAGCACCAACGAGGGTGCCTCCAAGCTGGAGAGGACATTATGGCATCTGGGTCACCGACAGGCCTCTTCCAGTTTGCTGTGTGGCCAGGGGCAAGTTGCTGTCCCTCTCAGGAGCCCTCATTTCCACAGCTGGAAAATGAGGTTGAGAGAATGGGTGATCGAGGACCTCTGGATGTCTGCTCCCATTCCCCAGGCCCCTGGTGCCCCACCCCCATTCCCACTCACATATTCCTGGAGCAGCTGCTCAGCATATTTGGTGAGGAGGTGTGCAAGGCTGTGTGTCTGACGGATCTTGGCCTCCAAGTGGGGAAGAAGTGAGACTGAGGAGTCAGCCTGGGGGGCTTCTGGTGGGAAAGTGGGGAGGAATGAGGATGGCCCAAGCCCCTGCTCCTTGGTCACCTCTCCCAGGCCATCTCTTCCTTCCTGACCCCATCAGGGTCTGTCCCATTCCAACTGAGGGAAAATGAGGCACCAGACCTTTGTCAAGTGGGTGGTCTACCTGAAATGTATTGCCTATCCCCAAATCACTGTTGAAATCCTAGTAAAGCCAAATTCAAAGACAGTCATGCCTTGCTTAACAACGGGGATACATTCTGAGAAATGCATCCTTAGGCGATTTCAACGTCTTGCAGACATCATAGAGTGCACTAACACAAAACCTAGATGGTACAGCCTGCTCCATGCCCATGCTATGTGGCGTACAGTCAATGGTTCTTAGGCGGCAAACCTGGACAGCATGTTACTGTACAGCAGGCAACTGGAACACAGTGGTATTTGTGTATCTAAACATAGAAAAGGGCTGAGTGAGGAGGCTGACATCTGTAATCCCAGCACTTTGGGAGGCCAAGTTCAGGCTGATTGTTTGAGCCCAGGAGTTTGAGACCAGCCTGGGCAACATGGTGAAACCCCGTCTTTACAGAAAATACAAAAACAAGCTGGGCATGATGGCAGACGCCTCTAGTCCTAGCTACTTTACAGACTGAAGTGAGAGGATCACTTGAGCCCAGAGAGGTCAAGGCTGCAGTGAGCTGTAAGCGTGTCACTGCACTCCAGCCTGGGCAACAGAGTGAGACCCTATCTCTAAATAAATGAATAAATAAAAACATAGAAAAGCTATAGTTAAAATACATATGTCTATGTATTTTATTAGATATATATCGGTTGGGCGTGGTGGCTCATGCCTATAATCCTAGCACTTTGGGAGGCCAAGGTGGGCGGATCACCTGAGCTCGGGAGTTTAAGACCAGCCTGGCCAACATGGTGAAACCCCATCTGTACAAACAATAGCCAGCCATTGGGTGTGGTGGCTCACACCTGTAATTCCAGCACTTTGGGAGGCTGAGGCAGGCAGATCACTTGAGGTCAGGAGTTCGAGATCAGCCTGGTGAAATCTTGTCTCTACTAAAAATACAAAAATTAGCCAAGTGTGGTGGCATGTGCCTGTAATCCCAGCTACTTGGGAGGCTGAGGCATGAGAATCACTTGAACTTGAGAGACGGAGATTGCAGTGGGCAGACATCAGGTGAGACAGTGAAACTTCATCTCAAAAAAAAAAAAAAAAATTGGCTGGGCACCATGGCTCACACCTGTAATCCCAGCACTTTGGGAGGTCGAGAAGGGCAGATGAGGTCGAGATTCAGACCATCCTGGCCAACATGGTGAAAACCGGTGTCTACTAAAAATACAAAAAAATTAGCTGGGTGTGGTGGCGTGTGCCTGTAGTTCCGGCTACTTGGGAGGCTGAGGCAGAAGAATCGCTTGAACCCAGGAGGCAAAGGTTGCAGTGAGCCAAGATCGCACCACTGCACTCCAGTCTGGCAACAGAGCAGGACTCCATTTCAGAAAAAAAAGAAAAAGAAAAAGAAAAAAAATTAGCTGGACATGGTGGCATGCACCTGTAATTCCAGGTACTCTGGAGGCTGAGGCAGGAGAATCGCTTGAACCAGGGAGGTAGAGGTTGCAGTGAGCCAAGGGTGCACTACTGCACTCCAGCCTGGGCAACAGAGCCAGACTTGTCTCAAAACAAACAAACAGGCCAGGCGTGGTGGCTCACACTTGTAATCCCAGCACTTTGGGAGGCCAAGGCGGGCAGATCACCTGAGGTCAGGAGTTCAAGACCAGTCTGCCCAACATGGTGAAACTCTGTCTCTACTAAAATACACACACACACACACACACACACACACACACACACACACACACACACAAATTAGCCAGGCGTGGTGGAGGGAGCTTGGAATCCCAGCTACTTGGGAGGCTGAGGCAGGAGGATTGCTTGAATCCAGGAGGCAGAGGTTGCACTGAGCTGAGATCGTGCCACTGCACTCCAGCCTGGGCGACAGAGTGAGACTCTGTCTCGAAAACAGAAACAAAACAAAAAAAAAAACCCCCACACAAAGCAACAAACAAATAGATAGATAGATAGATAGAATGAGAGAAATATATAATATATAAAATTATATATTTATAGAGAGAGAGATGGGAAGTGGCCGGGGACTTGCTCTGTCGCCCAGGTTGGGGTGCAGTGGTGCGATCTGGGCTCACTGCAGCCCAAACCTCCTGGTCTCAAGTGATCTTCCCGCCTCAGTCTCCTGTGTAGCTGGGATTACAGGCATGCGCCACCACGCCCGGTTAATTTTTGTATTTTCTGTAGAGACGGGGTTTCACCATGTTTCCAAGGCTAAAAATGCATATAATCTTATGAGACTGCCATTGTCTGTGCGGTCCATCTGTTGACCAAATGTTGTTATGCAGTGCATGACTGTGCTGCCTCCTCAGGGCAGCCTCCAGAATCAACCCTCCTTTATAAATGAACTTCTTCTTTCGACTTAAGGCCATTTAAATGGGCTCCAGAGTAGCTCTTTTAATGGTTCTTTTCTGTGTGTATTTGCCTTAGCCTGGGAGCTCTGGGGACAGGGCTTACATATTTCTACCTCAGTGACTGTTAATGGACTTCAACATCATCGAAGCACAGAACTTCACATCGGAATGTGCCTTGAAGGCCCATTTGACAGATAGGGAGACTGACGTCTATTTCCATTTCTCTCTCTGATGCCCCTTCCAAACAAGAAGCTGAGGTGGGCAGTCAGCGAATCAAGGTCGGAGCCAGTCTGACACCCCGGACTCCAGTTCCCGATATGCACAGCGCGCACCTGATGCGTGCTGGGGAATGTAGTTCTGACCTAGCGCCCCGCCCCGCCCCCTCCGGTGTTTCATAGCACCAGTCGCGATCCTCAGCAATCCAGACTTTCGTCTCCTCTTGTCACTCACTACTTCCTGTGACTCCAAGACTGCCTTCCCTTACTCTACCCCTTCCTCCAGCCCCCCAGCTCTGATTCTTTTCCTGAGACCCAGTGAACGCAGGGGTCCTGCCCCAGCCCCGACCCCAGTCCTCCCTCTGGGTGTGCTCGAACTGGTGATCTAAGTCCTGAGCCCAAGTCCCTAAAGCCTCAGCCCCAGGCCTCCTCTAAACCCTAGCGCCTGCCGCTTCTCGCAACTCACCCGCTCGCTCGTTACCTGATTCCGGAGCCCTGCTATTCCCCGCCCAGGCCGCTCCCCTCCCGGACCCTGGGGTGGCCGAGACCCAGACCCCCAGCTTCCAACCCCTCTGACTCCTGCAACCCTCAGCGACCGGGTCCCTCAGCCCCTTACCCAGACTTCCCTCCCTCTGGGTCATGCTGGCCCCTGGTTGATCCCGGCTCCCTCCACGCCCCCCTTTCGAGGGGGGAGAAAGGGGAAAGGGCTGGGGGCGTGGCCCGGCCGCAACCAATCAGAGCCCAGACCCCAAACATTTCGCCCTACCCTCCCCCTTTTCAGACAGGATTCCTTGGCCCTGAGCTCAGCTCCTCGCCCGTGGGGCCTAGTGGGGGAAGGGACCCGAGGTGGGAGGCAAGTTGTCCGCCTAGTGGATAGGACCTCGGGGCTGGGGGTGTCGGGGCCTGGGAGGCAGCCCAGTGTCCTGCTGCCGGCTCAGGCTAGGACCTGAGGCAGGGGCTGCTTTGAGGGGAAAGCTGAGGAGACAGGAGAGAGAACTGCGGGGCTGGTGGGACAGGAATGCGCAGGCCCTCTCTGTAGTCTGGGGCGCGGCTTGCCAGAGAGGCCACTATAGGGGCCCTCAGGCTTGGAGCGCGCTCGTCCAGACATACATCTCCTGGTCTGTCTTAGATGGCTTCTAATCTCACTGTCACACCCACTAGGAGGGAGGCAGATACACGGCTCACCTCCTCTTATCAGGCCTAGTAACAGAATCCTGGAGATTCACACACACACTCCTAGGAGAACAAGCTTCAGAGACCTGGACAGGAGGTCACATCCGCGCATCAACCCCATTAACTGGTGTAAACTGAAAGGAAGGCACATAGGGATGATCCGTACTTGGTTTCCGGCCCCCTGAGGGGCTTGCCGTCTGTTGGGGAAGCCCATAGACAACATCAGTTAATGGGGTTTGTGAGTGAAGGACTGGGAGGAGGTTTGTGTACACGCGCGCGCGTGTGTGCGTGCGTGTAAGTGTGCGATGGTGAGCGTGTTCGCGTGCATGTGTGTGGGTGTGCTCCTGTGCGTGGGTGTGTGTGTTGCGGTGAGCAGACAATTGCTGGAATAAAGGAAGAAAGAGTTTAACTGGAGAGGGCACAGCAGGTGCAATTGAGCCAGACGATTGGTAGGGCCCACAATCACATGTGTATTCACTGTAAATATTTATTGGGCATTTATCATGTGCCAGGCACTGTCCTAAGAGCTATACACACATTAACTTACTTCTATGTTATAGATGCGGTACAGAGATAAGTGACTTGTCCAGGGTAACACAGTTGGGTGTGGCACAGCTGGGATTTTACCTAAGCAGCTTGGCTCAAAAAATGCTGTCCTAACCATGCTCCTAACTCCTTATGCCCTTAACCTCTGTACATGGTCACACCAAAACTCACAGACACAACAGCCACATCTTGAAAAACACATACACACACACACACACACACACACATACAGAGCGACAAATTTTAACGTGGTCTTATCTGCTGACAAGTCAGCCTCAAATAAAGTCAACCAAGACACACTAATTGTCTCTAAGTAATGTACATTTTATTTAAGTCATGTGATGGAATTTCAGAGTACATACGCCCAGGGAACCAGTACCAGATTACAAAACTGAACGGGATCAGCTCTCAGAAGGCCCCCCGTCCCCTTCCAGTCCTAAGGTTGACCACTATCTTGACTTTGGTGAACTACATATTATTTTCTGTGGTTCCGAATATCATACACATGGGACCATCTAGTATGTACTGTTATATTTGGCTTCTTTCATTCAAGATTTCGTCATGCGACTTGTCTATGTTGCTGGGTGTAGCGGGCATGTCATTCCCGTTGCTGTGTCTATGTGCATGGTAATGAGTAAGGCGTCATTCATTTTCCATTCTGTTGATGGGTTATTTCCAGTTTGGGGCTGTTATGAAAGGACTCTGAACGTTCCCATGCACCCTCTTGGTGCTCACACCTACGCATTTCTGCTGGGTGTTGACAGCCTAGGGAGTGGAATTGCTGGATCACACGGGTGGCATATGTTCGGTTTCATTAGAAAACTGCCAGTTTCCAAAATGTCTCTACCAATTTACATTCCCCCAGAAATACAAGAGAGGTCCAGTCGCTCTAGTTTCTCGCTTCCACATGGTGTGACGGTCTTTTTCACTTTAGCCATTCTGGTGGGTGAAGAACTCGTATTCGCAGCGCCTGACGCGTAATTGGCACTCAGTTAACAGGACTGTTGAATGAATGGATGAATGAGTAAGTCGGGCGGTGTAGACCGAGAGCTTGGCGAGGGCGGACACACGCACGCACTCCACACATAGCTTTTCGCGGACACCCACCGCGGCGCCCCCAGCCCAGGACACAGACCCTCTCGCGCACCCCGCGCCCACGTGGTCTGAACGCACGGCCTAGGTCCTGCCGCGCGCGTCCGGTCGCCGAGCCGTCCCCAACTCCGGCACTCGGCGGCGGGCAGGGGGCGCTGCGCGTCCGGGCGCTCCGAGGGGGCGGGCTCGGGTCGGGGCGGGGCCGGCCGGGCTTCCAGGCCTGGGCTCTGGCCGCCCGCGCCACCGGGCCGCTCCGGGGACGGGCCGGGGCGGGGCGCGGCGGCAGGAAACAGGCGGGGACTCGCGGAGGCGTTGGGGACGAGAGAGGGCGCGCCCAACTCCCGGGGGGACGGCAGGCCGAGAGCGCGGCGCCCGGGCCTGGCGCCTAGCCTGAGCCCGCCGGACGGGAGGCGGCCCCGCCGCGGGCTCGGCCCCGGCCCCAGCCCTGCCAGCATGGCCGGCCGGACCGTACGGGCCGAAACCCGGAGCCGGGCCAAGGATGACATCAAGAAGGTGATGGCGACCATCGAGAAGGTCCGGAGATGGTGAGCGCTGCCCGGGGGCCAAGAATGGGACACGGCGGGACCACCGCCACCAAAGGCGTCTACGCTGCCCTCGCCAGCTCTGGGCCCCGGGGGTTCGGTGTACCCCCGCCCACTAGCTTTGCCCTGGATCCACAGGGCTCTGTCTCTGTTCCCCTGGCTACTCCTGGGGGTCTACAAAGCATGATCCCCAGCCGTGCCCTCCTAGAGCAGGAGCCCCCGTTTGTGCCCCGCCCCCTAAAGCTTTGACACTCCTTCTGCAAGTGCGCCCCAGGATCTTCAGGGCTTTGATCCTGGCCCAGGCCCATAGCCACGCCCCCCATGTGTGCCCCCGGGGTCCGCAGAGCCAGGGCCCCAAATCTTATTCTCTCTGCAGGCACCCACAGCCTCTGCTTTGGGGTTTGCAGGACTCTCTTTCTCCATGTAACTATGCCCCATTAGCAAAACTGTTGCTACCCTCCTGTGCCTCCCCAACCTCTGCAGGTACCCCCAGATGTGCCTGGCTCCTGGGGGGGATAGGTCTCCCCTCAGGCCTCTCTGACCCAGCCCCCCACCCTCCCACAGGGAGAAGCGTTGGGTGACTGTGGGCGACACTTCCCTTCGTATCTTCAAGTGGGTGCCAGTGGTGGACCCCCAGGAGGAGGTGAGCAACCGCTGTTCCCGCAAGGCCCTACATCTGTGCATCCTCAGGCGAGCCCCTTCCCACCCTGGCCTCTACCTCTAACTCCCCCTGAGACCTCAGAGGCAGCAGCACAGATGGGAACCATCATTAGCAGCTCTTCCCCGTTTTCCCTCTTTTCTGCTCCACACCCCCTGAGTTTGAGCCCTTTTGCTTCTGAGTGCCTCAGTTTCCTTATGTGTATGGTGGGGCTTTGCAAGAGCTCTGACCCTAATCCTCTAACCCCCAGGAGCGAAGGCGGGCAGGCAGCGGGGCAGAGAGATCCCGTGGCCGGGAACGTCGAGGCAGGGGCGCCAGTCCCCGAGGGGGTGGCCCTCTCATCCTGCTGGATCTTAATGGTAGGTAGGGATCCTGGAATGTGGGGGGCTGTGGGGACTGAAGGAGAGTACTGGGGACCTCAGGCCAACCATCTCGGCTCTTGCTCCCGCAGATGAGAGCAGCAACCAGAGTTTCCATTCGGAAGGTTCCCTGCAAAAGGGCACAGAGCCCAGTCCTGGGGGCACCCCCCAGCCCAGCTGCCCTGTGTCACCTGCCGGACCCCCAGAAGGGGTCCCTGAGGAGGTTCAGCCCCCACGGCTGGGCCAAGAGAGAGGTAGGACCAGGTGCCTCCCAGGAGCCCTCTCCTCTAAGTCCTGTCTTCTCCACAGTCTAAATGACCAGCTTATCCCTATACCTGCTCCCTGCCCTGTGTGCTCTCCTTAAGGAGCCTTCCGACTCCTGCAGAATCTCCCTGTAGCTGCTGTCTCATTCCTCTGGCCTCTTAGGATCTATAGATGACATAACACTGTCTGAGATTTTAATGTAAATTAATGTTTTACTAGTTTGTCTTTCTTCTCACTCTCATCTCAGTTTCCTGAATGTTGGACCCATATTGATCCCTTTTTTTTTTTTTTTTTTTTTTTTTTTATTATGTTCTTTTTTTTTTTTTTTTTTTTGAGAAAGAGTCTCGCTCTGTCACCCAGGCTGGAGCAGTGCAGTGGTGCCATCTTGGCTCACTGCGACCTCCGCCTCCTGGGTTCAAGCAGTTCTCTCCCTTGGCCTCCCGAGTAGCTGGGATTACAGGCGCACACCACCACACCCAGCTAATTTTTGTATTTTTAGCAGAGACGGCGGTTTTGCCATGTTGGCCAGGCTGGTCTCAAACTCCTGACCTCAAGTGATCTCCCGATCTCAACCTCCCAAAGTGCTGGGAGGCAGAGGTGGGTAAATTGCTTGAGGCTAGGAGTTCTAGACCAGCCTGGGCAACATAGCAAGACCCTATCTCGGCAAAACATTTTAAAAAATTAGGTGGATGTGGTGGGGCATGCCCGGAGTCCCAGCTACTCCCGAGACTGAACTTGAAGGATCGCTTGAGTGTGGGAGGTTGAGGCTGTAGTCAGCGAGATCGCACCACTGCACTCCAGCTTGGGCAATGCAACGAGGCCCCATCTCAAAAAAAAAAAAAACGTGTATTTTTCAGTCTCTCTTGAGCATGACATCTGCCTGTTTCCCAGATCAGTGAAATTAAGAAAAAAAAAAGACCGGCGCGGTGGCTCATGCCCGTAATCCAAGCACTTTGGGAGGCCAAGGCAGGCGGATCACCTGAGGTCAGACGTGTGAGACCAGCCTGGCCAACATGGTGAAACCCTGGTCTGTATTAAAAATTAGCCAGGCATGGTGGTGCATGCCTGTAGTCCCAGCTACTCGGAGGCTGAGGCAGGAGAGTCACTTGAACCCAGGAGATGAAAGCTGAATGACCAAGATTGTGCCACTGCACTCCAGGCTGGGCAACAGAGCAAGACTGTCTCAAAAAAAAAAAAATTCCGACCTGGTAAACAGGAAGAAATCAACATTTTAGCATGCATTCATCTTTATGTGTTAGGGGAGTGGTGATTTTGCCGTCTTTGGAAAATTAGCTTCCAGCTTTTCTATCTGGAGTCAGAAAGGCGAGGCCCAGGACGGGGTGGGCTCTGGGTGCCATGTGGCACCGGAGTTGGACACTAGGAGGCGCCTCTAGCCAGAGCTCAGCCCACACGCAGACCGGCAGCACCCGTGCAGCCCAGGAATCCTGCAAATCGGCTCCTTTTGTGCCTCTGACGCCAGCCCCTTTGAGGAGGACCCCAGGGGCAAGGAAGGGCTTTCCAGCACTACAGGTATGGGGTCTGGAAGGTCTTCTCCCCTCGGGCCTCCCCAAACAGCCTCATTTTCCCCTCACTTTCCTGAGTGACTTTTCCCTCCTGTACTCCCCGAAGCCCTCATTAGCACTGGAGCCAGGACCCCGAGACTCCAGAAGAACACACATCTTGAGTTCTTTCACCTTTCTGAGCCTCAGCCTGGGGTGGTGGCTCACCCCTGTAATCCCAGCACTTTGGGAAGCCGGGGCGGGCAGATCACTTGATCAGGCGGTCAGGAGTTAACATCAGCCTGGCCAACATGGCGAAACCCGGCCTCTACTAAAAATACAAAAATTAGCTGAGCGTGGTGGTACGCACCTGTNTTTTTGAGACAATGTCTCGCTCTGTCACCCAGGCTGGAGTAGTGCAGTGGTGTGATCATAGCTCACTGCAGCCTTGAACTCCCGGGCTCAAGCGATCCTCCTGCCTCAGCCTCCCAGGTAACTGGGACCACAGGCATATGCCACGACACCTGGCTAATTTTTATATTTTTTGTAGAGACAAGGTTTCGCCATGTTGCCCAGAGTAGTCTCAAACTCCTGTGCTCAAGCAATCCTCTAGCTTCAGCTTCCCAAAATGCTGGGATTGCAGGTGTGAGCCACCATACCCACACCCGGCCTCCTCTTTGTGGGGGGCAGGGGACAAGGTCTCTGTCACCCAGGCTGGAGTGTACTGGTGCAATCTAACTCACTGCAGCCTCAAACTCCTGAGCTCAAGGGATCCTCTGGCCCCAGCCTCCCAAGTAGCTGGGACTACAGGTATGTGCCACCATGACCAGCTAATTCTTAGATTTTTTTTTGTAGAGATACGGTCTTGTTATGTTGCCAAGGTTGGTTTCTAACTCCTAGCCTGAAATGATCCTCCTGTCTCAGCCTCCCAAGGTGCTGGGATTATAGATGTGAGCCACTGTGCCTGGCCCTATGTTGATCTTGTTCACTACTGTATCCTCAGCATAATGTGGGACACATAGTAGGGGCTCAGTAAATATTTATTTGTTAAGTGAATAAATAATAGTGATAGTCATAGGGATGATTAATAATAGGAATAACAACAGCTAGTATTTATTGAGCTCTTACTATGTGCCACACTTTATGTAGTTTTTTTTTTTTTTTTTTTTTTTTTTTCCGAGACAGAGTTTCACTCTTTTCCAGGCTGGAGTGCAATCACACAGTCTTGGCTCACTGCAACCTCCACCTCCAGGTTCAGACAATTCTTCTGCCTCAGCCTTCCCTCCCGAGTAGCTGGGAATACAGGCATGCACCATGATACTTGGCTAATTTTGTATTTTTAGTAGAGATGGGGTTTTGCCATGTTGGCCAGGCTGGTATCGAACTCCTGACCTCAGGTAATCTGCCTGCCTCAGGCTCCCAAAGTGCTGGGATTACAGGCATGAGCCACCGAGCCCAGCCTTTTTTTTTTTGGAACGAAGTCTTGCTCTGTTGCTCAGGCTGGAGGGCAGTGGTGCGATCTCAGCTCACTGGAACCTCTGCCTCCCAGGTTCAAGTGATTCTTCTGCTTCAGCCTCTCAAGTAGTTGGGATTACAGGCATGTGCTACCACGCCTGGCTAATTTTTTTATTTTTAGTAGAGATGAGGTTTCACCATGTTGGCCTGGCTGGTCTTGAACTCCTGACCTCAGGTGATCTGCTCATCTCGGCCTCCCAAAGTGCTAGGATTACAGGCGTGAGCCATGGCACCCAGCCAACACTTTACATTTTTTTTTCTCATTTAGTTTTCACTACAACCTTATAAAGGTGATAATACTGTTATGATCCCTATTTATAGATGAGGAAGCTGAGACCCAGAGAAATAACTCAGCCAGTAAGCCAGCATCTTGGGCCTGGGGTCCTCCTTAGCTCTGCTTTCTTTTCTTTTCTTTTTTTTTGTTTTTTTGGCTACGGAGTCTCACTCTGTGGCCCAGGCTGGAGTGCAGTGGCACAATCTTAGCTCACTGCAACCTCCGCCTCCCCAGTGCAAGCAATTCTCCTGCCTCAGCCTCCTGAGTAGCTGGGATTACAGGTGCGCACCACCATGCCCAGCTAATTTTTGTATTTTTAGTAGAAATGGGGTTTCACCATGTTGGTCAGGCTGGTCTTGAACTCCTGACCTCATGATCCGCCCACCTCGGCCTCCCAAAGAGCTGGGGTTACAGGTGTGAGCCACCGTACCCAGCCAACTCTGCTTTTCTTTTTCTTTCTTTCTTTCTTTCTTTTTTTTTTGAGACAGAGTCTCACTCTGTCACCAGGTGCTAGGCTGGAGTGCAGTGGCACAATCTCAGTTCATTGCAACCTCCAGCTCCCGGGTTCAAGCAATTCTCCTGCCTCAGCCTCCCGCGTAGCTGGGACTACGGGTGCACGCCACCACACCCAGCTAATTTTTCTATATTTAGTAGAGACGGAGTTTCACCATGTTGGCCAGGATGTCTTTCTTTCTTTTTGAGATGGAGTCTTACTCTGTTGCCCAGGTTGGAATGCAGTGGCATGATCTCGGCTCACTGCAACCTCTGCCGCCTGGGTTCAAGCAATTCTTCTGCCTCAGTTTCCTGAGTAGTTGGAATTACAGGCGCCTGCCACCATACCTGGCTAATTTTTGTAGTTTTTAGTAGAGACAGGGTTTTACCATGTTGACCAGGCTGGTCTTTAACTCCTGATCTCATGATCTACCCGCCTCAGCCTCCCCAAGTGTTGGGATTACGGGCGTGAGCCACCGTGCCTGGTTGAGCTCTGCTTTCTTCCATGCAGTCAAACCTGGCCCTGGCCTTCCCATCTCTCACTGGTTCTTGGTTCCAGCTGGTCTCTTCAAGTCACTTCCACACGGCTGCCAGAACAGCTTTTTCCTTAATATTTTTTAAGCGTTGCTTTTTCTTTTTTTTTCAAGACAAGGCCTTGCTCTGTCGCCCAGGCTGGAGTGTAGGGGCGTGATCACAGCTCACTGCAGCCTTGGATTTCTGGGCTCATTCAGCCTCCTGAGTAGCTGGGACTACAGGCATGCATCACCACGCTCAGCTAATTAGTGTTATTATTTTTTTATAGAGATAGGGTCTTACTATGTTGCCCAGGCTGGTCTCTAACTCCTGGGCTCAAGCAATCTTCCTGCCTCGGCCTCCCAGAATGCTGGGATTACAGGCGTGAGCCATGTTTTCTGAAGCACATTTGATGGAGTCATTTTTCTGTTTCAGATCCTTCAGGTGGATCCTCATGGCCTTTGACTCCTTGGCCTGACATTTGGGGCTTTTGTGAACTGTTTTCTGCCGACCTCATGGTTCCCTGCTAAGAACACCCTGATGTGGGGCTGGGCGCGGTGGCTCATGCCTGTAATCCCAGCACTTTGGGAGGCCAAGGCAGGTGGATCAAGAGGTCAGGAGATTGAGACCATCCTGGCCGACATGGTGAAACCCCATCTCTACTAAAAATACAAAAAATTAGCCAGGCGTGGTAGCATGCCTGTAGTCCCAGCTACTCTGGAGGCTGAGGCAGGAGAATCGCTTGAACCCAGGAGGCGGAGGTTGCAGTGAGTGGAGATCGTGCCACTGCACTCCAGCCTAGGTGACAAAGTGAAACTCTGTCTCGGAAAAAAAAAAACCACCTGTGGGTCTGTAGGCTGGGTCTGGGTCTAGATAGTGCCAAGCACTTGTATACCTTTGCTAATATAAAAATGGTAGCAAGGATTTATTGAGCACTTACTGTGTGCCAGCCATTGTGCTTTACCTGAATCCGCTCATCTGACCCTCACAACAGCTGCATGAGGTAATTACTATCATTACCCCCATTTTACCGATGGGGAAACTGAGGCCCACGGAAATTAAGTAGCTGGCCCAAGGTCAGGATTTGAGCGCTCTGCCTTTCAGAGGCAGGAAACTGTCTGTCCACCCTGTCAAGCCCTACTCACCCTTGAGCTCCCACCTCAGTGTTCCCTCCTCTGCTTCCTGGGGCACAGCCAGATTCCTGCTCTGTCCTCTCTGCTCTCTGGCCCTCTGCCTTCTGTGACTAGGGCCTGTGACCGTCTGTTTCTTCCACTGTCTGTGCTGCTGGCACAGAATGGCTGTTCAGGGGATGTTTGTTACCTTGATGTTCCAGATCCCGGGGCCATAACTGCAGGCAGCACCGATGAACCCCCGATGCTGACCAAGGAGGAGCCTGTTCCAGAACTGCTGGAGGCTGAGGTGAGAGAGGCCAGAAGGCTGGAATCCTGGGTCTTGGAGGGAATGGGGGATCTGGGCAGCGAAGGCTTGGAGCCTGCATCTTGAGACCCCAGAGGAGAGGCAGACCTGGGACCAAGCTGAAGGTTTAGGGGCTGGATTCTTGGGACTGAAACAGAAAGGGTGTTTCAGAGACAAAGTGCTGAGGGCTGGCTCAGGGCTGATTTGAGACCATTAAAAGCCTGAAAGGCCAGGCGCGGTGGCTCACGCCTGTAATCCCAGCACTTTGGGAGGCTGAGGCAGGTGGATCATGAGGTCAGGAGTTCAAGACCATCCTGGCTAACACAGTGAAACCTGTCTCCACTAAAAATACAAAAAATTAGCCGGGCGTGGTGGCACGTGCCTGTAGTCCCAGCTATTCGGGAGGCTAAGGCAGGAGAATCGCTTGAACCTGGGAGGCGGAGGTTGTGGTGAACCAAGGTCATGCCACTGCACTCCAGCCTGGGCAACAAAGCAAGACTCTGTCTCAACAATAAAATAAAATTAAATCAAAAGCCCGACAATATCACGGTGCTCCTTCATGCATTTTCAAAAAATATCTTAACTGTAAAATTAGCGTAAAAAAATCCCTCATACACCTCTGACATTTCTCACAAGGCGACCTTGATGCATTTTCAGAAATATCAAATATCAGGTTTGTTCCCCCACACAGTGTCACTGTGGTTGTTGTTTTCGGTGCCTGCTTCCTCTGCGTCCTGGGCACCTGGCCCTGGGCTTGCCTCCCCCGCCCAGGAGGGGAGGGGAGTGGAGGCTTTGGAGAAGGCAGAGGCTCGGAGGCTGGACGCCTGGGTTGGGTGGAGCTCATGCCTGTCCACCCTTCCTCTCCAGGCCCCCGAAGCTTACCCCGTCTTTGAGCCAGTGCCACCTGTCCCTGAGGCAGCCCAGGGTGACACAGAGGACTCGGAGGGCGCCCCCCCACTCAAGCGCATCTGCCCAAATACCCCTGACCCCTGAGAAGCCGGCCTGCCTGTCCTGTCACCCCAGGGGCCCCTTTGGCTTTTTACAAATAAAGACCCTTTTGTAATTTTGTGTCCTGTCATTTCCCCGTCAGGGCTGGGGAGGGTTTTTGGAGACAGTTTTGTCTCATGCTCCATTGCTCAGATGGAGTCACTGAGGCTCTGAGAAGGCCTTCCTGTAGTCACACTGAAAGGCAGAGTGGGGTGGGGGCTTGAGCCAGGACCCTGCCTCTCCCTCACTTCCTGGGCCTGCCCTATTCCCTGACCTTCACCTCCTCCTTGGGGAGTCCCAGGACCTCTCTTCTTCCTGCTCAGCCCTTGCCTGGGCCTAACAAGTATCAGAGCTCTGGGTAGCTAGGCCATGATTCTTTTTTTTTTTTCGAGACCAAGACTTGCTCTGTTGCCCAGGCAGGAGTGCAGTGGTACAATCATGGCTCACTGCAGCCCTGACGTCCCACCTCAGCCTTGACGTCCCACAGGTACGTGCCACCATGCCCAGCTAATTTTATTTATTATTTATTCGAGATGGAGTCTTGCTCTTGTTGCCCAGGCTGGAGTGCAGTGGTACAATCTCAGCTCACTGCAACCTCCACCTCCAGGGTTCAAGCAATTCTCCTGCCTCAGCCTCCTGAGTAGCTGGGATTACAGGCGCCTGCCACCATGCCCAGCTAATTTTTTGTATTTTTAGTAGAGACAGGGTCTCACCATGTTGCCCAGGCTGGCCTTGAACTCCTGGACTCAAGTGATCCTCCCACTTCACCTTCCCCAAGTGTTGGGATTACAGGTGTGAGNCAGGGTTTCACCATGTTGGCCAGGCTGGTCTCAAACTCCTGACTTCAGATGATTCACCTGCCTCAGCCTCCCAAAATGCTGGGATTACAGGTGTGAGCACCATGCCCAGCCTGCTACATTTTTTGTAGACATGGGGTCTCACTATATTGCCCAGGCTGGTCTTGAACTCCTGAGCTCAAGTGTTCCTCTTGCCTTGGCCTCCTAAAGTATTGAGATTACAGGCGTGAGCCACCACACCTGGCCTATTCATATTTCATACATAATAACACAGAGGCCTAGAGGGCCTTGGGGGCCTGGATGACCAACACATTCCTTCCCCTGAGGAAGCCACTCCTCCACAGGGGTTGCCTGGCCACCTTTCTGTTGGGTCTGACTTATCCCCAGCTCAATCAGCATCTCCTTCGAGAAGTCTTCCCTGACTCCAGGCTCAGTCAGTTTCCCCTTTTTTGAGCTCCAGCAACCTCCTGGACTTCGTTCTCCTGGCTTCAGCATTTATCAGGCTGTTCTGGGATCTGTGGTTTGTGTGTCTGTCTTGTCTACGAGCCTGTGGGCTCCTGAGCAGTCCCCACACAACACTGGGAACAGGGCAGTCCCAACAGTGGCTTCAGGAATGAGTGAATACATGAATGTGCTGGGGTTTTCCAGGCAGGCTTCTCTGAGGAGGTGGCATGTGAGCTGGGCTGTGAGACACGAACCTCTGTGCTAGAACTCAAGTCAGCAGCCCTGGTTCAAGTCCTGGCTCTGTTATTCCCTGCATGGCTCTAGGCAGGCTGTTTCTACTCTCAGCCTTAGTTTGTTCATCTGAGCAATGGGAACAATAATTAGGCCTCATCTGCCCCAGGAGTTTGTGGAAACTTCAGGTAACATAAGGCCCTCTCACTCTGCCTGTAGAGTCATGTATATTGGCGCTATTTTCATTTTTAATAAAGAAAGACACTGAGGTTCAGAGAGGACCAAATTAGAACTTTAAAGAAGCATTTAAAAAAGGTAGGCCAGGCCAGATGCCATGACTCAAGCGTGTAATCCCAGAACTTTGGGAATCCAAGGCGGGTGGATCACCAGGTCAGGAGTTTGAGACCAGCCTGGCCAACATGTGAAACTCCATCTCTACTAAAAATACCAAAATTAGTCGGGCATGGTGGTGGGCGCCTGTAATCCCAGCTGCTTAGGAGGCTGAGGCAGGAGAATCGCTTAAAACTAGAAGGTGGAGGTTGCAGTGAGCCGAGATCGCGCCACTGCACTCCAGCCTGGGCGACAAGAGTGAAACTCCATGTCAAAACAAATAAACAAACAAAAATGGTAGGCCAGGTGTGGTGGCTCACACCTGTAATCCCAGGCCTTTGGGAGGCACAGGCGGGACCAGGAGTTTGAGACCAGTTTGGGCAACATGGCAAGATAGAAAATGAAAAAATTAGCCAGGCCTACTGGTGCATGCCTGTAGTCCAAGCTAGCTGGGAGGCAGAGGTGGGAAGACTGCTTGAGCCCAGGAAGTCGAGGCTGCAGTGAGTGGTGATTGCACCACTGGACTTCACTCGGCAACAGAGCAAGACCCTGTGTCTAAACAGACAAAGGAAATGTAAGGATGCTTCTCTTAGTGCCGCAGTGGTAACAGTGAAGCCAGCGCCATCCAGGGAAGCCAGGCTTGCTGAATGTAGTGTAACTGTTTCTTATCGCTGCTGTAACAAATTGCCACACTTATAGAAGCTTAAAGCCACAGACATTAGCCGGGTACAGTGGCTCACACCTGTAATCCCAGCACTTTAAGAGGCCAAGGTGGGTGGATCACCTGAGGTCAGGAGTTCGAGACCAGCCTGACCAACAATGTGAAACCCTGTCTGTACTAAAAATACAAAAATTAGCTGGGCGTGGTGGCAGGTGCCTGTAGTCCCAGCTATTCAGGAGGCTAAGACAGGAGAATTGCCTGAACCCAGGAGACAGAGGTTGCAGTGAGCCGAGACTGCGCCACTGCACTCCAGCCTGGGTGATAGAGCAAGACTCTGTCTCAAAAAACAAAAAACAAACAAAAAACCACAGACATTGATTCTCTTACAGTTCTGGAGAAGTCCAAAGTTAGACTTACTGGGCTAAAATCAAGGTCTCAGCAGTAGTTCCCCCCAGAGGAGGCAGGGGAAGTTCTCTTTCTTTGCCTTTTCCAGCTTCTAGAGGCGGCCTGTATTCCTTGGATTGTGGCCCCTCCCTCATCTTCAAATCAGTGCAGGATCTTCCAGTCTCTCTCTCTTCATTGTCACATCTTCTCTGACTCTCCTGCCTCCCTCCTCCAAGGACACTGTGATGATGCTGGGCCCACTTGAATAATCCAGGACACTCTTCCTATCTCAAGATCCTCAATTTCATTACACCTGCAAAAGCCCATGTGCCATATAAAGCAACGCATGTACCGATTCTGGGGATTCAGATGTGGACATCTTTGGAGGGCCATTCTTTGTGGTATTGTCGGTTTGCTGGGTGTTTCGGCCACCTCATGACTCCCCTCAGCCAATCCCGAGGGAGGAGAGTGCTCTGTAGACATAAAGTGCCTTGTATGGGTTAGTGATGTAGTGTTAAAGCTCAGAATTCAGGTTCCAGGTTTGAATCTCAGCATCTGCATTCATTTGTTGTATGACCTTGAGCAAGTGACTGAACCTTTCTGTGCCTCAGTTTTCTCATCTATATAAAATGGAGATAATAGTGACATCGGCCTGGTGAGAGTATTCTGAGGGTTAAATGAGGCAACACATGGAGAGACAGCCCTTGGCCTGGGATGTAATAAGTGCTCAATAAAGGCAGGTTTTGTTGTATTGCCGCATTTTACAGATGAGGATGCTAGGGGGATAGAGACCAGAGACTTTCCTGTTACTGAGGCTGGGGACGGAAGCCTGGCCCCTGACAGGGTGTCCATTTCTAAGCAGTGTTGAGAAGCTAAAGTTTGAGTCTCCTCCATTTTTGTCCCTGTCCTGGTCACAGGGCCCAGGAAACTGGGCCCAGGCATCCCCCCACCCTCTCTGCGACCCATTCTTTGATGTGGTTTAAAAGCCAGTTTGGGCCAGGCGCGGTGGCTCATGCCTGTAATCCCAGCACTTTGGGAGGCCAAGGCAGGTGGATCACTTTAGGTCAGGAGTTCGAGACCAGCCTGGCCAACATGGTGAAACCCTATCTCTACTAAAAATACAAAAATTAGCCAGGCATGGTAGTACGTGCCTGCAGTCCCAGCTACTCAGGGGGTTAAGGCAGGAGAATCACTTGAAACTGGGAGGTGGAGGTTGCCTGGGCAACAGAGCAAGATTCAGTCTTAAAAAAA